ATGGAGAGAGAGGGAGAGAGAGAGAGAAGAGAGAGAGAGAGAGAGAGAGAGAGAGAGAGAGAGAGAGAGAGAGAGAGAGAGAGAGAGAGAGGAGGAAGGAGTCTGGCCAGAGCAGGAACTTTACCGCAAGAGTGAGTTACACGGTTGGGGCTGAAGCCTGGGTCACAAAGGCACTCGCCCTTGCTGCACTGCGAGTGGTAGGGGCATTCCACGCCGCTGCAGCTACCGTGACTCTGGCACTCGCCGCGCTCACACGCGATGCCCTCAGGGCAAAGCTTTTCCGCGCAAGTGTCATCTGCGGGGGTTGTTGGATCAGGGATGGAGCTCGGCTCATGGTTAATGAACGAAGGCGAAGCATGATGGCGAGTGCATAAGGCGCAGGATGGTCTTAGGGGTGCTTATTCTCTCCTAGTGACTCACACCGTGATTTGACACTCGATAGTGCTACTCATACCAGGAGAGAGATAGAAATGGAAAGGGGGAGAGAGAGAGAGAGAGAGAGAGAGAGAGAGAGAGAGAGAGAGAGAGAGAGAGAGAGAGAGAGAGAGAGAGAGAGAGAGGAGGGAGCATGGCCAGAGCAGGAACCGTACCGCAAGAGTGAGTTTCACGGTTGGGGCTGAAGCCTGGGTCACAAAGGCACTCGCCCTTGCTGCACTGCGAGTGGTAGGGGCATTCCACGCCGCTGCAGCTACCGTGACTCTGGCACTCGCCGCGCTCACACGCGATGCCCTCAGGGCAAAGATTTTCCGCGCAAGTGTCAGCATCTGCGGGGGTTGCTGGATTAGGAAGAGGGAGCTCGGCGCATGGTTGAATTGGAAGACGAAGGCGTAGTAGGACGCAGGAAGGTGCTGAGAACAGAACTAATTAGCGAGCGGAGTCGTGTTAGTACACTCGCACGCGCTACTACCTTTTAATACCAGGCATGATTGAATGGAACTAGGGAGTCAGGACAGGCCGATGCTGCTAGCAATACACAGTGAATTTTACGAAAGACCCGGCGGGGTACGCACCGAGAGAGCAAGAGATGGACTTCACGGTCTTGGGGACCTTAGAGGTGCTGCACATGGGGAGGGGGACGGGAATAAAGAGCATGGGGTATGAGAGGGGAGCAGAGTCATTTTTAGCACACTGGAACGACAATGCGTAAGAGCAGGGGGAAGGAGCGGAGGGAGAGAGAGAGTCAGAGAGTAGCAACGCTTCGTACGAGCGCAGTGAGAATGGCCGAGTTGTATCTAGTAGTATATGGTGTTGGAGATTACGTGTGTTGGAAGCAAGGTGGTGGTGGGGCGTTTGTATGCCCCCAACCCACCGAATGTGTGACTTGTGCTCACCTTCGAGTGAGTTGCAGGTTTGCGTGGGGTTGAGGATTGACTTCGGAAGACCCATTCGATTCGGTGCCACATGGCAGCACCAGGAACATTCGAGACCCAAGGAGAATTCGGATCGGTGAAATTCGAGAGTCGAATTTCACCCTTTCGATGTTACTCGAACATTCGCGAGTGTAGCGGTTCGAGGTTACTTGTGCGATTCGATCTTGTTTGCATGCTATAAATCTGTTTTCTTTGTATTGCATGCCATCATAGTGAAACTCAGAGTTCTTTGTACAAGGTACATTCGAACACAAATTCCAGAGAGCTTCTTTACTTGCATTCAAGAGCACCACCTAGCACGTGAACGCCTATATCTCGGAGAATACTTAGGCGATCGACGTGTTTGACGGCTCGTTGGAAAGCTAAGACAGAGCTCTATCGTTTATAACAACTCCCAGTTCCTGCAAAGTAGAGGAGAGTCCTCTACAACAGTGGTATCAGAGCTGGTCGGAGGAGTCTACGCGCGCGACAAGGAGCACGCATGATGACTTCAAGCGAGGCCTCCCGCACTTCCTTGGATGGTGTCGTTGTAAATTCCGGCGAACCCTGGGCAACCGCGACGATGTTCGACACGTCGGCAGTACCGATTTTCACGGGACAAAACAACTCCGCGTGGAAGTTTAAGTTCCAAGTGCTCATGATGGAGCGGGGACTTTGGGGTTTCTTCGATGGAACGGAGAAGAAGCCGGACGATGAGAGCGGCATCGCGGCATGGAAGAAGAAGGACCAAAAGGCGTTCGCTACGTTGATTTCGCGCATCGGCATCAATCTCGTGAGCTCGGTGCGCATGTGCATCAAGCTCGAAGCGTCGGCGCATGAAGCGTGGAAGCGGCTCGAGACCATCCACGTGAACAAGACTCTCCACGGCAAGATCCTAGCCCGGAATGCGTTCTACACGGTGAAGATGCGCGCGGGCGAATCGATGCACGAGTTTGCGACTCGTGTGGAGGAACTCGGGGAAACGTTCATGGACCTCGGTGGAACGGTCACGGAGGAGGATTGGATTCTCACCTTGCTTTGCGGCCTTCCGGAAGAGTGGTCGACGGTGATTACGACACTCGATAGCGTGCAAGACACTTGGACGAAGGAAATGGTGGTTGGTCGGCTTCTCCATGAAGAATCGCGTCGCCGACAATTCGCTAATGAGAGCGAGGGTGCCGCCATGTACTCCGGAGGGAGTTCCGGAAAGAAGTCCAAGTGGAGCAAGGACGCAACGAAGAAATCGTCCGGTGGGAGCGAGCATCGCGGCAAGTGTCACTATTGCCGCAAACCGGGACACTTTTGGCGTGAGTGGCGAAAGCGGCCGAGCGATTGGACTCCATCGATGGCGCGGGACCAAGAGGGCAACGCGCACACGGCATCCGGCGAGGCCGATGATTCAAAGGAGTCGCTCGTATTAGTGGCCGGCAACGGGAACAAAACTCCAAGCGACGCGTGGTTCCTCGATACCGGCGCAACGCAACACATGACGCACTCGGCGTCGCTCCTCAACAACATTGGCGCTCCGGGAGACGTCACGAGCATCGTGTTCGGAAACAACGAATCGCTACCGGTGGTCGGAGTTGGGAGTACGCGCCTCATCGTCGATAGCGGTCCGGTGGACGTGACGAACGTGTTTCACGTCCCGGGGGTGAAGGTGAACCTTCTATCCGTCCCGCAACTTGCGAAGAAGGGAGTGATCGCCACGATCGACGGCGCGAACATGAACCTTTTTTGGAAGGGGAAGCAATTCGCACAAGGCGTTCTCAACGGAGAACTCTACCAACTCAAGACGCACCCGGGAGCGGCTTCATCCAACGTGGCGCAAGGTTCCAAGGCGACTCTCAAGGCGTGGCATAATCGACTTGCGCACGCCAACTACGACTCGGTCAAGGAGTTAGCCAACAAAGGACTCGCGAAGGGAGTCGACGTGATCGCCGGCGACGACGAGAAGGGCGTGTGCGCGGCGTGTGTCGAAGGAAAGATGGCTCGCAAGCCATTTGGGAGCCGAACGTCACCCCTCGCTAAGGACCCGCTTGTGCTTGTTCACATGGACGTGTGTGGACCGATGCGGCATGCATCAAAGGGAGGAGCGCGGTTCCTCTTGGTAATGCTCGACGATGCGACGCGGATGTGTTGGACCCGACTTTTGAAGGCTAAGGGAGATGCGGCCAAGGCGATTCAAGAGTGGGCGCTCGAAGTTTGCGACGATGACAAGAAGCGGATCAAGTGTATTCGCACCGATGGTGGTGGCGAATTCGTGAATGCGGAGCTCGAGAAATGGATGAAGTGCAAGGGCATTAAGCACGACGTCACAACACCCTACACACCCCAACAAAATGGAGCGGCGGAGCGGCTTAATCGCACGTTGGTGGAAGCCGTTCGTTCTCTTCTTCAACACTCCAAGCTTGGGAAAGAGTGGTGGGGCGAGGCGAGTTCGCTAGCGGCGTGGATTCGCAACCGTTTGCCGACGAAGGTGCTCCCGGGAATGACTCCGTTCGAAGCATGGACCGGAACGAAGCCGAACCTATCCCGCCTTCGCACCTTTGGGTGCCTTTGCTACTACCATGTACCGGATCCCCTTCGCCACAAGTTGCAACCGAAGGCTCGTGCGGCGATCTACTTGGGAATTGCGGCGAACGAGCGTGCGTGGCGAGTGTGGGACTTGGGCGACAAGTGCGTCGTCACGTCTCGGGACGTGGTCTTCGATGAAGACAAGTTCCCGTCGAAGGAGAAACCCACTCAACAACTCACCTTCATCCTTCCGCCACGAGAGGAGGTTGAAGAGAGTGAGACTCCACCTCAAGTGGAGAAGGAAGCCGATGGAGGGGGAGCGAACAACGAGGAGAGCATTGATGATGTCGTGGAGGTGTCACCAACCGAGGCGGCAACTACCTCCACACCTTCCTCCCTACCATTGGCCTTGACCCGCGAGCGTCGTGAGGTTCGTCCTCCCTCCAAGTACAACGACTACGCTACGGTAGCCGTTGGGGAGACGGATAAGGAGGGCGCGGCATTTTGCTTCGCAACCAAGGGTGATGATGAACACGCGAAATCTCTCATGGAACCACCCCCTAAAGATTCATCCCGTGCATGCTATGAGCATGTTGGTTTGCACACCTAGTGGGTTGGGTGCAAGGGGGAGTGTTGGAGATTACGTGTGTTGGAAGCAAGGTGGTGGTGGGGCGTTTGTATGCCCCCAACCCACCGAATGTGTGACTTGTGCTCACCTTCGAGTGAGTTGCAGGTTTGCGTGGGGTTGAGGATTGACTTCGGAAGACCCATTCGATTCGGTGCCACATGGCAGCACCAGGAACATTCGAGACCCAAGGAGAATTCGGATCGGTGAAATTCGAGAGTCGAATTTCACCCTTTCGATGTTACTCGAACATTCGCGAGTGTAGCGGTTCGAGGTTACTTGTGCGATTCGATCTTGTTTGCATGCTATAAATCTGTTTTCTTTGTATTGCATGCCATCATAGTGAAACTCAGAGTTCTTTGTACAAGGTACATTCGAACACAAATTCCAGAGAGCTTCTTTACTTGCATTCAAGAGCACCACCTAGCACGTGAACGCCTATATCTCGGAGAATACTTAGGCGATCGACGTGTTTGACGGCTCGTTGGAAAGCTAAGACAGAGCTCTATCGTTTAGAACAACTCCCAGTTCCTGCAAAGTAGAGGAGAGTCCTCTACAACATATGGGAGGAATTGAGATGGTGGAGCAGCAGGGGGCTCGTGTAAGGCGAACTCACCTGGGTTTGGAACGGCCGAACATCATGTTGAGCAGAGCGTTGCCGCGTCTGGTCTTCGCCACATTCTTGACAGCGGCGCCCTTGCAATCGTGGCGGGTGAAAAACTTCACCTCCTTGCACGTGCCTGGCACACGCGTGTTGCCGCTGCCACCGGCTCCCGCCTTCCTTGGATTGATATTGCGCTCGACTTGCTCCCACCACACCTTCACGGTCTGCCAGAGAGAGTTCCCGCCAGCGCGGCTCCCCTTGGCAGGCTTCAGGTTCACGCAGCGGCGCTCGTTAAAGGGGACCACCACTCCGCCAATGCTCACCGCCGTGCTCACAGGTAGCGCGTCCGCGGGAGTGACCTCTGCTGCGTCGCCGGACTTGGCTGTGCCTTCGTCAGGCGAAGAGATCAGAGCGTTCGCGTTGGTGGCAGATTCGGTGACTTGGGAATTCACTAGCTGCTGCTCGCTGTCTGCCGCCAAAGACCCCTGGATGCTGCATGCTGCGAGGTAAAAACATGGAAAGTGGCGTAGTTTTATTAGAGCAAGGTTCATCTAGAACCTATGAGAAACAGAAATATCGCGAGGTGCTTACCGATTGTAATAAATGTCATGAAGAGTGACACCAGGAATGCATTGCGATTCGCCATACTGCAGGACCGATGAATGATGAACAGCGGATAAGGGATTGCTACGCCTTCTCGGACAGCCCTTTCAGAAATGTCTGGCAGGAACCAGTGAGGTCACCGCTACTAGGGGATATGCTGGAAGCAGTTATACGACTTGTTGGATTGGGAGAAGTGATACTGAATCAAGAACACACTCGATTTTATTCCAATTTCCTTGAGGGCCAAACAGCGAAGGGGATTCAAAACAGACTTATTGGTTCGCGACGCGAATCGCGTTCCCCCCCCAAATTGATTTATTGGCTCAAACTTGGGCTCTCGATTTGTTTAGGACCGCCCTTACGAGTTCGCAGGTTAGACAAGTTATCCCCTAGTTTTACAGGGCTAGGATCAAACCTTGCCCTTCATGCGTCCGGGATAGGGCCAGTAATATCGAACCTAGTAAGTGCTGTAGTTCCCAGCCATTCAGGCATCTGATTGTCGACATTGACTACTTAGCAAGCTTCCTTTGCTAATCCACTGAGGGCCACCCGCACGTGTTTCATGCCCAAAAACACAATGTTTTAAGTGGTACAAATCGTGCAAAAAATAGATATGCTAGAGACGTAAGGGATGGTACTGCTATAGCAGGCAAACTTAACTCTAAGAAAAGGGCGGGGTGTGGGTGAGAAAATTCGAAGACTTGGGAGGGAGGTTCGGAAATGATAGGTACTTATTTGAAACAAATCTAAATAGATTCAAATGAAGGTGTGATGGACTCAACTCGAGGAGACCCATTAAACTAGCAGAAACCGTCAACACTACCCTAGCTCTGGTGGGCAAAGGAAAACATCAAATTTACGTTCTTGTGTACAATGCAGGGAAGTGGCTCTATTTCCACATCATTCAGTTCCAGCGCCTGACAAGTTAAAACTGTTTTAATTGTGCTGACATTCTATATGAGTGCATGAAGTTACCGTAACTAATAACGCTAACGGCGTGTTGCAATTTGCGGTGCACTGCATCGGCTCGGCTCGTGGCACGGGTTTGGGAAGGTTCCAGGAACGCAATAGGCTGTAAAATTTTCACAGAAAACGCGCAAAGAAAATATATGTCCCTACCTAGTATAACCTTGGCAAATAACTCTTTGAATCACTATCTTGAAACTTTTCTTTCCCGAATCAGTGCCCGTGTTCGGCCTCCCGCCTGCCTATAGCCTTCCAAACGTCCCGAGCCGATGCAGTGCACCGCCAATTGCAACACGCCGTAACGGTACAGAACTCCAGCAACAACACAAGAGGAACACTAGCTAGGCGGAACCATGGAAAGTTGGAGACAGTTCAGCAGAATGTTTGAAGGCGACAGGGTAGCCTGTTGAAATCATACTCTCTATTATAGCTGCTTGTAGAAAAAAAAAAACATACTACCGTAGGTTAGGGTTTTCACATTTGTACCGAGCAGATAAATTCAAGAGTTCCGCTGCATTACAACAAGATGTATAATCCCTGAAAGATCCTAAGGGCTTTGCTCAGCCCAACGCTCTAGTTGAAGGTGAGAGTGGCTCGCAAATCTGCGGTACAGTAACTCATACCAATACGTTTTCTATTTTACTTCCGGTAGTTACTTTTTTCGCAAATACTGACAAGCACAATTACCGTATGTTGAGCCAGTAAAATTGGCGAGAACAGTGTATACTAGAGTAAAGTGTCTGGTTTGAATTATGCATTATCATATCATGGCCACACTACAACCTTGCTTAAAAAACCCACCAGTATCTGCGGTCATTCAGGGCATCAAGCAACCCTGAAACTCACTTTGTCCACTCTCGAGTGTTTGCACCTGGGAGCTAAGTTCCCAAACAAACACAGTGGAGACACCAATAACGAGTACAAAGCTTAGCCCAATGGCAGAGAACACCCCAGTGACAAAGCAGAATATGACCGCCACTACAAACAACGCAATTAAGTTCCACGGTCCCCATATGTACTGGAGCAGAGGGGCAACAACACAGAGAGCCACAAACGCCAAAGCCGACTGCAATGGAAGACCGGCAGACAAAGACAAAAAAAATATCAGTTTACAGCAGGAACCAACACCACATCACAAGAAGCAGAAAGACGCATGGCATGACCATTTGTTACGGCATAACAGAAGCTTACCCCACCATAGCCGACCACCAAGACTGATACTACGGCTACTGGAAGCAGCAGCACGAGTGACACAGCCAGGAGGAGCAGGAAGGTTGGGAAGGCTCGTGAGAGAGCTCGGAGGACGATGCGCGAAGAGGGAAGGAAGCTGAGTCTGGCGGTGGCACTGATGGGGAGAAGCAGACTGTGGAGGGGCGGAGTGAAGAACGAGGGCGGGTAAAAAAAAAAAAAAAAAAAAAAAAAAAAAAAAAAAAAAAAAAACAGAGATGAAGAGCAGTATGGTTACAGGGGTGCTTGAGGATGCGGGGAGAGGGAGAGTTGGGTATGGTAGAATGATGCGAAGCCACTTAGGAAAGGCAAGGCAAGGCATGGGTGGGCTTAAATAGGGGCAATGGCGTGCCTTGATTTTAAGGGCGCGTGCGATCTTTGAAATTTGTAAAAATTTACCTTTTGAAGGCGAATGTAGCATTTGAACTTAAGCCGAACGAAACTCAACTTTCCTTGTAGTGAAGTTCAAACGCACGCGTGGCATGCAACAACAGCATGCATGCACCATTGAATGCATGCACGCCATGCACGGTCAACATACACGCATAGCATGCACCATCAAACTACATGCACCCATGGCACGCACCATCAGCATGCACCCATGGCACGCACCAGTAGAGGAAGCACAAGGCAAGAGCCGCAGTCCAGGCAACCAGACCCGAGGCCAGTGCAGCAGCCATGCCTGCACCTAGAGAACTGTACACTGACATGCTGGCGAGTGCAGCAAGGAGGAGCGTTGCGGTGCCAGCACAGCTGATGGCACTGGCAGTGCCGATCGACTCACACATGAACGCACTGTGAAGGGTAGTGGAGCCAAGGGAAACAAAGGCGTGGAGAAATGCGTTATTGGAACGGAAGGATCAACAAAACACACACATGGACGGACACACACACACTCGCTCACGCACACGCACTCACACGCACACACTCACGCGCACACACTCACGCGCACACACTTGTCCACGCACCTGTCGTGCTTGGCCACGTGCACTATCCTCTGCCACCTCCCATGCTGCTTCCCAGCCTTGTCAGATTCAGTCGATGTAGCACCAACACCATCAGCAGAAGCAACAGCGCCACTGGCACCATCAGCATCTGCACCATGAGGAGCAATACAAGCTCCACCATCGTCCATACTGCTGTTGCCACTCCCTGTAGATACGTCGGCAGCAGTGCACCCTAGCCCAAACCTTGCCGATATGGTCAATAGAGCGGATGTGACTATAGCGAGCAGAACCCAGATGGCGATGAATACCAAAGCTATGGTGAGAATTGAGGGGTAACGAGTTGGTGTAACCAGCCTTCCGTCCACGTAACACGTGCTGCCGACAGACCAGCTGCTAAAGCAGCTAATATAGTCAGAGCCCGCTTGCATAATGGGTGTGAGAACAAGAATGGATAACACCCCTTGCAATGTGATTGTCAGGAGGACACTGGTATCGAATGAAAGCGCCAGCCTGATAGCGCGACCAATAATGGATGTGACAGTATCGAGGTGGTGGTGTAAGGTGAGAAGGGGGAGGATGGTGAGCAGCAGCAGTAATATGCATATAGCCGACTCAGCGGAGTAATCGGCGCAGGGTCGTATGTAAAGAACACGTAGGATACTCCAATCCCCCAACAGCCGAAGAGTATGATGCTGCTGACGACGCATGACACAGTCACGGCGCGAGGAGTGAAGTTACTGGAAAGTCGGCGGAGGGCAAAGCAGGAAGGGAACAGGGAGAGGACGAATGCGGAGACGGCGCAAAGGAGGAAGAAGGCGAGGGAGAAGAGGAACGGCCATTGGAGCGCGAAGAGCGGCGAGATAAGCTCGTGGATAATCAGCAGCGCGATGCACGCCGCGAGGGCCGCGGCCCATGCCGAGTCGCGCTGCGGATAGCAGGAGGCGGGATCGACCTCGTCGCGACGCACGCCGGCAGCAGCGGCGCTGTTCGCGGCGGCTGGGGGGCATCGAGTCGCCGGGATGCTCACTGAACACTCCGCGGCGCGTTCCTTGCTGTCAGCGCCGGGGGGTCGCCGCTCTTCTTCGTCTACAGCCTCCGCGTGCGGAGGGTCCGGCGGGTGCTGCGGGAGCAGCGCTGCGGTGACTGACGAGGCTTCGCGGGAGGTCGAGATGGTTTGCGTGTTGATCACGGTGTCGTCGTGACGGGAATCACCTAACGTTGTCGCCATGATGCTTTGTGGAAATTTACTTTGTTGATTACTTTTTGACTCTAATGTTTCACGCAATGGTTGTGAAGATCGTGCCACTAGTAGTTAGTAGAGTGAGGCCTGCTGCTGCTACTATTCTGGGTGGCGTGCGGAGCAAGGAACATGCTATAACTCGCGCATAGAAGACCTCACCCGATCCCCAAATGCTTGTATGTCACCGTCTCGTGTCGTGAATGCTGATTGAGCTTCTTGGTTCCTCCGATTACGCAAAAGTGTCCTGCGTGCGAGGCCATAACTGAGATCTTGCCTTTACTGTACAGAATGAAGAGCTCGTCGTCGCAGTAGGGGACCCCAGTCCGAAGCCGGCCTGTATTTACGAATGTGCTTCCTGAAGCCGCATTCGCGGCTTTCACAAATCGCGCTAGTGCGGTATATGTCGCATTATCGAAGCAAGGTATAAACCACCATTTTCCCCGTTATAAGGTGCGACCACTCTATGGTGAGAGCTGGGGTAGAGTGGAGGGATCTGCGACTTGCGGAGTGGAGTTGCGTGGTTGGCGCGATGGTGTGCGGTGCAGGCAAAGTACAGTGATTTGGTTACATGCTCATGCGATACCAACAGCCGCACAATAACCTTTAGTCACATTCATTTAATCCGAACCCTTACCAGGTTTGAGTGGACTCAACGGATGAATGCAGTAGTTGTATATTAACTAGTGTGTTGAGTTCCGGGATAGGTCTCATAGATTTATGACACATGAGGCCGATGCCATTGATGACATCCAGAAGAATCCAAATTATAGCTTAGTTGGCCTAGTTGTCAACTTCTGTACTAAGAGAAACTTATATAGCCAATGTCTGTGTTTGACTAGTTGTTGTTGATTATATTTGTGTCGAAGACATCTCCAACAACGATTTTCCACAGAAGATTCTTGTTGTGGCATGTCTTCATCACATCAGCTAATTAGGGTTTGGCACAGCAGACCACCGCGATCAGCGGGCGTACGGCACGTGTCAGTCCAAGTGGGAAACTTGAGCAACGAGCAACGAGGGTGATCTGCCAGCATGACTCATATCCTCTCATCATGACACCCTTTGCCGTCTCGCCCATTGCGTCCTGATCCTTTCCCGATTTCTATAATGCTCTGGTTGCTCTGTAGTAGCTGTTCTCGTTCTTTTATTTTTTCGTCTGTTCGTATCCATTTCCCTTACTATATGTGACTTCCAAGTTTTTGTTACTTTCCTTGCTTTGTTTTCGCCGTGCCGTGATTCCACGTTGTTAGCCTCGTTGCCGCTTTACGCTACTATCATTTTCGGTTTTCCTTAACCTGCGGCACTACACGTGGCAACCAGAGAGAAACCGACAGGGCTCGAGCGGCGGCTCGTGCTGCGAAAACGGGGAAGAAAGCCGACGACGGGTTGACCCCAGAACAGCGGAGAGAAAGGTATCCACATCCTGCTGCTCGTACACTCCCTGCCTTTGTTTCTCCCTCGTGTCCTCCACCGCCTTCCTCCTTCTACTCTGTTGCTCCCCACTTCTCGTACACCCTCCCTCCTCCTGCTCTTCCTCCCTTTCCACTAGAACTCCTATCTCTTTTGCCCTTCCCCTCCCCCGCTCCCCACCTTCTCCCTCCTCCCTCTCTCTCTCTCTCTCTCACTCTCTCTCTCTCTCTCTCTCTCTCTCTCTCTCTCTCTCTCTCTCTCTCTCTTCCTCCCTCCCCCCTCCTTCCCTGTCTTTTCTGTCTCTACTCTCTAGTTCCCTCCCAAAGCAGAACCCTAGGCCGCTAAATAGGTTCTTATCTGTTCCTGGTCAAGTGGTTGGCCCGTCTGATCCTTCTTTTCTTTTTCTTATGTGTTTTGCCTTTAGGGATGCCAAGGCGCTCCAGGAAAAGGCAGCAAAAAAAGCAGCTGCTGCAAGTGATTCAGGAGGAGGCAAAGGCAAGAAGTGATGGTGCTGTTGCCAACAGGAGTTGTAGCTAGATGTGTGATGATTGATTGATCCGCTAGAGTTATGTGATCCATGCAAAGCTGCTTCATCTAGTGTTGGCGTTGGCGGGAGCTGCTTATACCGAATGCCAGGCAACGTGTGCTGCTGCAGTGCCACATCGGCCCCCTTCCCCAAAAGACTCACTTAACTAAGCTGGTACGGAAACAGGTGCAAGTTACCGGTAGGTCTGTCAGATGTACCGCACTACCGGTACCGTATGCGCATGCTTTTGCGATGTGGAAATGAGTAATGAACTGTCCTGCGTATGTGCGGTTTGAATTATGTTTTGTTCACTGCCTTGCAAGGAAAGGTACTGCTCCGTCCATCCGTCCACCCCCACGGCTGTACTTCATTCACTGTAGCAAAAGGTTTAAAGTACCTTATCGAGCAAAGTGCTTGTAGTGCACCAAAAGCAGCCGCCCACCGAATTCAATCAGCTGTCAGGATCAGCCCATCACCCAATCAGAAGTACCGTAAAGTGCCACCTATAGGACCCGGGGGACTCTCTACAAATGCTCTAAAAAGTGCTAGGGTGGACATGATGGCGGATGCAAATTTTTAAGACCCGGGGTACACTTATTAATCTATTAACTTTATTGGATTTACCATGTACCAGCTCGTTACAGGGGGGGGGGGGGGGGGGGGGGGGGGGGTCTTATATTTTTGACGCGGGAATCTTTCGCTAGGTGCACAACCAACGCGTCATCGGGAATGACACGCGGCGAGATTCAGAGCACGGCGGCGGACTGAACGGTGTTTGCCCCGCACCCCACATCATCTTGACGGTGTTTCCCGTCAAGATGGGCACGCCAGGTGGCCCCTGACCACCCCATCCTGTCACTGTGGCAGAACGGGCACTGGACGTGAAGCACTACCGTCATCACCCGGATATAAGACAGTGTTGAATAGTAGACAGGGGTTGTCTACTATACGGGTGTCTCTTATAAACAGGCTAGCCTCATTATAAAACACCTATTTGTGTGTACGAGATAAGACATATATGTCTTATAATCGAAACTTCAATAAATTATAGCGAAAGTTGAAATACCGCGTACATTTTTACCCTTGCGAAGCGCGAATTCTTCCACGCGCTGACCCAGGACCTACCAAATTTGCCCCTGCAGGTGTTCTCCATAACGTGGCGTCCCGGGCAGAGGTTGTCGAAGTGGCACCTTCGCAACATCCACACTCATTATGAGAAACTCTTTTTCAAGAAGTACGGAAAATATTTCTAAGTAGTTTAAAAAGTTTCCATTTATAAGACTTATAAGACACCCTAAACCATCCCGTTTACAAGATAACTCAAGCATTTTTGCCCGTGTACGAGATAAGACATATATGTCTTATATCCGGGCGATGACGGTATTGTTTCACGTCCCTCACTCTGCCGAGCACGCTAGTTTTCATCCCCTCCCTTTCCCTAATTCAGATCTTGCCAGGCCCGCTTGCTTCCTTCCCATCTAAATACCCCGCCATGGTGTCTGCCACTTACAGAACCAGTAGTCAGTAGAACTGTATCAGCTCCTCGCCATGTCGGCTTTCGAAAGCCCATGGCGTTCACGCCGTGCTCCTGTAGGCAGTGGCTCTGGTCAGCCCGCAATCATACTAATTACTAGCCCGGCCCCGCCAGCTCCTCCAGCACCTCCCGCACCTCCCGCACCCTCTGGGCCTCCGGCGCCACCTGCGCCTCCTGTGCTTCCCCCGGGCTTTGTCGACTGGCGCACCACACCTCCGTTTGACCCGGTCGAGGAGGAGGGGTTTCCCGAACCTGTCGCCGAGGATGCCGAGAACGAGAACTTGGAAGACGACGTCGGGGATTTCCCGATCCCGACGTTCCCGGATGACTTGCTCCACGACGAGAACGGGCCTCGCTCCAACGTTGACGGTGCTCCAACACAACACAGCGCCCGCAAGACTACCCACCGACGCACGGCGCGAACCATGGGTGAGAAGCAGGAATGGCTCGCGCGACTGGAGGAGGAGAAGCTCTCCGTCCGCGCCACTGCACGACTCGCCGGGGTGCAGCCTGTCAGCGTCCGCCGGTGGATAAGGGCGGCGGATCGGATTAAGAAGGCAGCGCCATCCAGGCGCCGACTGAGTGGTGGAGGGCGAAAGGCGAAATATCCCGACATGGAAGCGCACGTCTACAAGCGGCTTCTGAACTTCCGCGGACGGGCTTTGGCCGTGCCTATTCGACTCATCAAGCACTGGAGCCGGTGCTACATGAAGACGCATTACCCTGATGTGAGGTGGCAGGCGTCCAACAGGTGGACGTTTCGCTTCCGCCAGCGTTTGGGCCTCTCCATCCGCGTAAAGACGAAGATGGGTCAGCGTATGGCCGCGGGTGAGTTATTTTTGTGCATCCATCCGTGTGTGTTTGTGTACAGTTTGCTCTGCCACATGTCACACTCATGATTAACACACCGCTGCCACTAATGTCCTTCTCCCGCCTTGTGGTCGTCCGTGGCAGAGTGCAAGCCGAAGTGTGTGAAGTTCTGGGCGTTCACGCGGAGGAATATCATCAAGCATGGCATGACATGTGGCAGGCGTCCAACAGGTGGACGTTTCGCTTCCGCCAGCGTTTGGGCCTCTCCATCCGCGTAAAGACGAAGATGGGTCAGCGTATGGCCGCGGGTGAGTTATTTTTGTGCATCCATCCGTGTGTGTTTGTGTACAGTTTGCTCTGCCACATGTCACACTCATGATTAACACACCGCTGCCACTAATGTCCTTCTCCCGCCTTGTGGTCGTCCGTGGCAGAGTGCAAGCCGAAGTGTGTGAAGTTCTGGGCGTTCACGCGGAGGAATATCATCAAGCATGGCATCGACACATGGAACATTATAAACGCCGATCAGACGCCCGTTTTCCTGGAGATGCCGCACGAGCGTACCCTGCATCACCGCGGAGAGAAGACGGTGCATGTCAGGAGCGCGGGCTACGAGAAGGACCGGGTGACTGTCATGCTCGGGATCACCGCGGACGGGCGCAAGCTCCCCGCCATGGTTATTTTCAAGCGCAAAACGATCCCGAAAATTCGGGTCCCAGCAGGTGCGTTTCGACTGTTGTAACCATCACGGTAGTCGTTCTGCGTGGCAGATGTCTAACCACGTGTGTTGTGTTCCTTGCAGGAGTCGTTGTCCGTGCGCAGGCTAAAGGCTGGATGGACGCTAAGCTCGTGGATGACTGGGTCAACAACGTTCTCCTGCCGTTCATCAAGCCTCCGCGCGGAATCCGGCGGGGCAAGACGCTTCTCGTCGTGGACTCGTACAGGGGCCACCTCACCGACGGTGTTCTCACCAACATGAAATGGAACAACGTAATCCCGGCCATCATTCCCGGGGGCTGCACCCCCCTGCTGCAGCCCCTTGATGTGAGCGTCAATCGCTAATTCAAGGCCCTGCTCCGTCAACTCTACAACGACTGGTTCGCCGAGTTTGGCGTCAACACGTTCACGAAAGCCGGTGAGTTACGGTGACTTTCTAAGTACCTCGCCTTGTGTTGTGTTTGTTGCTGCTTGTTTGCAATACAATTCACCGTGTGCGCCATGTGCCTCTTTACCGTTTAGATGGCAGGCAACCTGAAAAAACCGCCGGCAGAGACGGTCCTCAAATGGATTGCGAGTGCTTGGGCGGCCGTCCCCGAGCACATTATTGAGAAGGCATTTCTCACGACAGGCATCAGCAACGCGGACGATGGGACGCAAGACCACCTCGTCCTGGCCCACATGCGCGATGCGGGCGAGGTCGAGGTGGCACAAGATGTGCACGTCGCCCCTGAGGTGGAGGAGTGGGTGAACCCGCTGTTCGCCACCGCCGCGGGTGATGAGGAGGCGGCAAAGGCAGCGGATGCTGAGGATGCCGGGGACCTGCAGGAGGAGGAGGACGAGGAGGAGGAGGAGGAGGAGGAGGAGGAGGAGGAGGAGGAGGAGGAGGAGGAGGAGGAGGAGGAGGAGGAGGAGGAGGAGCCGGAGGAGGGTGAGGAGGAGGAGGAGGAAGAGGAAGAGGTGGATGAGGAAGATGAGGTTGTGGTTCCTTGAAGTAGAGTGCTTGATGGAATCCATCATGACCATGCTGTAGTTGTAGTGACCTCTAGATGTTGAGATGTGTGTGTAGTAGGTTATTACAGTAACAATGATAACAGCACCAAACTCAGCAGGGGAATGAAGGGGGGGGGGTCCTATATTGATTAGCGACAAAGGGGGGGTCCTCACTAAATCTTTCCAAATAAGAGTCCCTCTGCTCCTTCAAGAGGCCCGGGGACCCTCTTACCGGCGGGTCCTATAGGTGGCACTTTACGGTACCTCTCGATAGGCAATGCATGAACATGCTGAAAGCAAAAGGACAGGACCAGCAAGAGCGGTCCAACTCAGTCAAGTCACAGAAGCATGAGCAGCCTGACACACTCGTTTCTGATGGACAGCAGCAGTTGCTCTTGCTCCATCCGATACCGCTGAGCCACAGCCACACATGCCGCCACGTCAACACCGTGACCCTCTTGCATAACCCCCTGCCCCTGCCCCTGTACCCTCCCCGCTTCACCCTCCTCCCCCCGTGCTTCCACTTCCTGCCCTTGCTCCTGCCTTTCTTCCTGCTCGTTCCCATCCCCCCCCCCTTCCTGTGCCTTCTCCTGCTCTTGTTCCTGTGCCAGAAGGGTGCCCACGAGGTCAAGCAGAGTGGAGAGAGCAGCAGAGCGCACTGCAGGGGGGATCTGAGAAGCAATGGGGGAGGGCACATGGGGAAAGAGCACCCGGGAACGGGGTTGAGATAGAGTGGAGGGGATGAGGATGGACGACGAATGTGGGGATGAACGAGAATGAGGTGTTGCAACTATATAAGTCGTTCTCACGGACGTGCACGCGGTTGTAGAACGGTGCAGGGGATAACACAGCGATGCATGGGGTAACAGGAGTGGTGCATGGGAAAACGAAACGGTGCATGGAAAAAACGATGCGTTGCACAGGCAAAACAGAGGTGCATGGGGCAGCAACAGGGAGGTAAACATACATCGGCCTGTGGTGGCCGGAGAGCATCAGCCTTCCACATCCTCCGCTCCTCCATGCTCCCTCCCACAGCCCCACACAGAGCCACACACAGCCGCCAAGGCAGCGCTCCCCACACATCCTCACTCCCACCCCCCCCTGCCCCTTCACACTCCTCCCCATCCTCCTTGTCCTCCCCGTCATTCTCAACCGTCTCCTCCGCACGCTCCCCGTCGTCTCTCTCCACCACAGCGCCAGCGGGCGTCAGTGTGAGGTCGCACGCGCGCAGCAGGTGCTGTGACAGCGCCACCACCGGCTCCTCTCCCTGCCCTCCCGCTGCTGCACCGCCTTTGCCTCTGTCCTTGTCCGAGTCTCGGTAGCTGTCCCTGGTTGTGAAGGCAGCACTTGCATCATTGGCCTCAGTGGCAGTATCGGTGGTACAGCCATGGCTACCGGCACCACTGGCATCATCGCTGTGCCGTGGCTTTTTCGCAGTGGTGCTGCCCACAGCTGCTGAGTCGTGAGCTGCTGCTTCCTCTACACCACGAAGAGCAGCAGCAGCAGCAGCCGTGTCCTCCCTGCATGCATCGGCTACTACAGTTTGCATATCTTGGATAATGGTTGCTGCATCCTCATCCATGCTCTCCCTGTCCCCTTCCACTACTCCCTCTTCCCTCATCGCTTCCCCTTGGCCTCCATCTTCAGTGTTTTCCACTCCTGCTGTTGCTTCTTTTGCTTCTGCTTCTGTTTCAGCATCTGGTTCCGCTTCTGCCTCTTCTGCTTCTTCTTCTGCTTCTTCTTCTGCTTCTTCCTCCTCCACAGAAAAGTCAAGGTCTGCCATGTCACCATAGCGCCATCATCATATCATGCATGCACCAACCATGCCATCATCACACCATCATCATATCATGCACCATGCCATCATCACACCATCATACCACAAGCATTAGCATAAGGATGATGAGGATGATGAGGGCAATGATGCACAACATAAACTTCTGGGAGGTACAGCTGGGGGAAGAGAGGGGGGTTGCATTGCTTTGGGGAGGGGAGGCCAACACATACAGGGAAACGAAGGTGGACAGGAGTGGGGGGTTGGGGAGTGAGGAGGAGAATTGGGGGCAGAGATATGGGAGAAAAAACGTGGAGGTGCGGAGAGTGAAATGTGGAGAGCGATTTGGGAGCATGGTTGTTTGTATGAGGTGAACTGCATGGCAGCCAGAAAAGGTTCCAAACACATGCCGCTGCCCACTGCCCACTGCCCACTGCCCAAACCTCACACCCAGACACACGTGCCATCGCTAACCATACTTGCATAGACTCACAGCAGCAGCAACCGCTCCGCGCAAGCAAAGGGTATTTTACTCTATGCCACGCACCAAGGGGGAAGCACTCGTAGGGGTTGCGGGAGGGCAGCAGGAAGCCGTAGAAGAGAGCGAGGTCGTGTGAGGGCAGTGGGCCGTATGTTAAGAAACACTGCTGCCCTGCCTGCACTGGCCTCTACTCTACTCTACTCTACTATACTCCACCTCTCACCGAGCGGGAAGCAGTCGTAGGGGTTGCGGGAGGGCAGCAGGAAGCCGTAGAAGAGAGCAAGGTCGTGTGAGGGCAGTGGGCCGTACGACAGGAAGCACTGCTGCCCTGCCCGCACCGGCCTCTCCAGGCGAAGGTTCAGCCGGTGGGAGGTGGAGTGGAGAGAGGAAGTGGACGGGGGAGGCACGGAGGAGGAGGAGAGTGGGGAGGCAGAGGCGGGGGAGGAGGTGGAGGCGGAGGAGGAGGGGGTGAGGGGAGAGGGGGAGGGGACAGCGGGTTCGAGTGTGCTGAAGTGGGTGATGTGAGGGTACAGCTGCAAGGGCATGGGGGTAGAATAGGGGAAGGAGGAGAGGCAGGAGCAAAAAAGAAGGGAGATGAAGGGTGTGGATTGTTTTTAAGAGACGCGAGCCAAGTGACGGTCTGTCAGGTGTGAGTTGTTGTGAGCCCCTGCTTCATGCAACCAAGAGAGCATTGATAAAATGCAGTTCCTTCCATGCCCCTCCCTGCATGCCCCCCCCTGCATACCCCTCCCTGCATGCCTCTCTTTATACAGCACTGCACACCCCTCAGTTCAGTAATGACTGTGCATACCCCTCAACACATGCCCCTCCTGCATGCCCCTCCTGCTGTGCCTCGGCCTCTTCGAACCTGCTGTCTGAGACTCACCGAGTGGTTAAGCAGAGAGGCAAGCGGCACCAGACACGGCAGCGCGGTTGTCTCCCCTGCCTGCCCCGCCCCTCCTCCTCCTAGCTGCCACGCTCCCTGCATGCTCAATAATAGCGCTGCTGCTGCTGGTGCTGATGGTGATGATGCTGCTGCTGCAGCATGTGGTGGTGGGGGAGGGGAGGGCAGGGCTATGCGCATGGCGTAGGCATACCAGAGCTCTGCTGCTGCTGTGAAGGCGGAGAGGGAGAAGAGGGCTGGTGGGAAGAGCGAGGGGTAGCGCTGTGAGAGGGCTGGGAAGAGAGAATGGTACTCTGCGTGTATGTGCTGGTTGGGGGGGGGAGCAAGAGAGAATGGTACAGAATGGGAGGGGAGGGGAGGGACGAGGGGGGAAAAATTATGGGAAGAGACGGAAGAGTGGTGAGATGACGGGGCAATTCGTGGGCGCAGGTGGGAGACTGAAAGGGGAAATGCTTGCCTTTAACACATGACAGGCATAGAACGGCTTTTGAGGCGCCTCAAAAGTCGTGACATGATGGGGCAATTTGGGCGCAGGTGGGAGCGGAACTGCTTGAATCTTGACAGAAAAAAACATGAAAGGCATAATTGGCATGGTTGGCGTTATTTATAAATCTCAAGAAGAGACCCAAGAAGGTTGGCATGAATGGAAGAGGGAGCAGCAATTTCAAGAAAACGAGTGAGCAGAGGGACAGAGTGAGAGCAGATGCACAACCCAACAAGCCCAGCACACTACTACACTAAAAGCTCCAACTTCGCGTTCCTTCCCCTCTCTTTCCATGGCCCTCCCCTGCTCCTCCGCCTTCCCTCTCCTTGCCCTTGCTCCACTTGCACTCGTCTGTCTGTCACCCACACACCTGCCTGGCGCGTCCAATGTGTGTATGCAGCAGCGTTCCCTGCACTGCACGCACTGCTGTTTCTGGCCATGTCAACGCTGGCAGTGCCAGGGAGGGGATAAGAAGCAAAGCAGGTGGCAGCACACTTCAGAGATAATAAGAAAATAAGCTCGTTCCCTGCACTACACGCACTGCTGTTTCTGTCCAAGGCATGCCAGTGCCAGGGAGGGGATAAGAAGCAGAGCAGGTGGCAGCACACTTCTTCTAAATCGATCAGGAAATTCAGCACATTCCCTGCACAGTGCACTGCACGCGCTGCTGCTTCAGACCATGACAGTGCGGCTGGGGAGGGGATGACGAAGTGCAAGTGGTGACCCCAGACCTTAAAGTCAGCTCAAATGTCACCTCGTGCCCTGCACTGCAAAACGCTGCTGCTTCAGACCATGACAGTGTTGCTGGGTTGGGGAGGTGCCGGGGACGAGAAGCAGGGAAGTGGTGGGGACACATCGGGCTGAAGGGGGAAAAGAGGTGGCGACACACTTTTGAGTCGCCTCAAGATTCACATCGTGCCCTGCACTTCCCATGACAAGTTTTGCACTGTCTAACAACGGTATAATCAAGGCCATCGTGCAGGGAGAGGAGGGGAGGAGGGGGTGGCACCTGTGTTGATGGCAGCAGGCAGGGCGTTGAAGAAAGGAGCATAGAAGGACGAGGGGTCGTGGCGTTGCTGAATGGTCCACAGCAGCGCAATGCTCTCGTCACTTATGCTGCTCAAATCCACCCCATCCTCCATGCCCCCCATGTCTGTGTCCTCCTCTTCGCCCCTCTCCTTCCCACCACCACTGCCCCCACCGCCGTCACCCCGGAGCAGATCAGCTTCAGCCCCGGCCTCCGCCTCTCTATTTTGCGCTTCACCCACCGCCTCTCGACCTTGCACCCGCCCACTCTCCACCTCTCCGCTTTGAACCCTGATGCCCTCTGCTTCTTCGCACTGCTCTGGTGCCGCCCTGATGCTTCTGGCGGCCCCCTTCCCTCCTGCTCGCAGAGCTTGACCCTGCCATGCCATGCCCCATGACATGCCATGCCATGCCATGGCATGCCATGCCATGCCATGCCATGCCATGCCATGCCATGCCCCATGCCATGCCATGCCCCATGCCAAGCCATCCCATGCCATGCCGTGTTTTCATGCCCATGCCCATGCCATGCCAACAGTATTAGAGGAGAAGGGTACATGGAAAAACTGAGTACGAAGTTGTTCAGTCCAACACTCCAGCAAGGTACATAACCATGAGGGGAGGGAGGGGCGGGGAGAAGTGAGGAGAAAGCTGAGGCGTGTCGGAACATAACCATGAGAGGCATCACATGCGCCTTAGATACACACAAGCCGAGCCGGTATTGTAGTCGACTCAGAAATCAATACACAAGCCCTCAGGCAGACTCGAACGAGATGGGATGGGACAAGTCTTTTGAGTCGACTCAAGAGTCAGCTCGAGATGGATGGGAGAAGCACGCATGGTACCTACCAAGGGAGAGGCGAGTGCAGTGAGCGGCGAGATGATGAGTGGGAGGGGAATGGAGAGCACTGCCTCCCCCGCCTCCATGGCCCCCCGCGCTGCCATGCCCCGCCCCGTGCCCGGGAACTCTGTGCCGGGAGGGATCGGGGTGTGGGGTGAGGCGTGTGGGGTGAGGGGTGTGGGGTGGGGTGTGGATTGAAGGGTGTGGAATCGGGAGTGTTGGGTGTGGAGTGTGGGGCATGTGAGGTGTAGAGTGTGCGGTGTGGGGGATGGGGGATGAGGGGATTGGGTGGGAATCACGCATGGTGGATGGGAATGGGGGGTGGGTTGGATTGTGGAGAAAGCCAACAGAGCCATGGATGGTCGATGCCTGCGATGGGATGGGAGTGCAGCACATCGGGCAAGAGGAACCATGGCGGAGGCACATGCGTGCGTGACAGACGCTGACAAAATAGATCATTGAACACCAAAAACATCTCCTCCCCGCCTCTCCCCCTCCCCGCCTCTCCCCCCATCCCACCCCCCCTCCCTCCCTTTCTCTCCCCTTCTCCACCTCTTGTCCCTGTGCACCGCACCTCGCACGTCCAGCTCGCACGTGGCACCGTGGGCCACAGCCCATTCCATCAGCAGCCTCTCCGCCTCCCCCTGCCCCTCCTCTCGCTTCTCTCCGTCCTCTCCTTCTCCTCTCTCCTCTCCCCTGACGTCCCCTCCCTCGCACTTCTCCCCCTTCCCCCGCTCCCCCGCTGTCTCCCCCCCTGTCCTCCGCCCAGCTGCCTCCCCCCCTGCCTCTCCCCCCAGTCCCCCCAGCCGCCTCCAAACCTCCCCCATCATTGCTTCCGCCACAGCCCGCCCCTTTTCCCCCCCTTCTGGCGCACAGGAGAGGGGCACGGGGGCAGCACAGGCAGCGGAGGAGGGGGGGAGGGCGGAAGGGGGGAGCGGGGCGGGTAAGGGGTGCAGGAGGGGGAGGAGAGCGAGGCGAATGCGGCGCAGCGATTGGAGCTCGTTGCGGGGGGAGACAGGGGCGCGGGGAGGAGATGCGAGGAAATAGAACTCGTCCTGAGGGGGATGGAGAGGGGCGGAGAGAAGGGGCGCGGGGGGGGGGGGGGAAGGGGGGCCGGAAAAGGGGAAGACAAGGGGAAAGGAGAAGATCACGGGTTGAGGGGAGATATTGGAGGCAAAGGGACGAGAGGGTGGTGGGCGAGGGTGGCAGGTTAGGTTAGGGGGGAATGGTGGGTGGGTGGATGGATACGGTGTGGTGAGAGTGCATCAAGCAGAGGAATGGATGGAGTAAACTACGTACGGGGGAAAGGGAGTGAGGTAAGGTGGAAGAAGGAGTGTGTGGAATAGCATGGGAGGTGTGAGGTAAGGTAGGGAACGGTTCAGAACAGAAGCACAGGGGCACGGACGTGGTTCAGCTCCAGCACGCGCGCAGCCATCAGGAGCGCATCCAGCTCCGCCTGCCCCGCCTGCCCCGCCTGCTCCGCCTGCTCCTCCTGCCCCGCGCCCCCTTTCCCGCCGCTACCCGCTCTCCCTTTCCCCGCCTCCTGCCCCGCATCCCCTTCTCCGCGCCTGCCCGTCCCCCCTTCCGCCTGTCCCTCTCCCGCCTCCCCCCCCAGCACTACTTCCAGCGGCAGGCGCAGGGCGCGCAGCAGAGCCTGCGGGGGGACGGGGGAACGGGCGCAGCGGGATAGGGCACGGGAGGGGGGAGGGCGGGAAGGGGAGAGGGAAGAGGGGGAGGGAAACCCCAGGCCCCGGCGATGGGGGTTTAGGGAGAAAGGGAGGGTTTAAGAAAAAGATCAGGAAAATTCTGCCGGGACCGCAAGGGAGGGGCGGGGAAGGAAGCGGGAGCTGAGGCGTAGGGCCGGAAGCGGGGTTTAAGGTTTACAGGAGGGTGAAGGTAGCAACGACTACGGGCTAAAGGCATGGCGTGGTTCGTATGCGTGGCGTGGTATGACACGTGGCAGTTGGCTTGTGTGTGAAAGATGACCAGCCTTCTACCCGCCCCCTTCCACCCTCCTCTCCCCAGCACATGACTGATGCCCACACCATCCCCACACCCCCCCCTCTCCCCAACGCGCCTCACCGTTCTCTCTCGCAGCCCCGCTCACTCGCGCCCATCCCCGACCACTCCCCCCTTCCCCCGGCCTCAACCCATCCCCCGATTTCGTCCGCCCTCTCCAGCCGCCACCCCTCCTGCTCCCCCCCCCCTCTCCTCCTCCCCCCTATCTCTTCCCCGCCGCGCGCTCCCGCGGGCGGCACGTGCATCGCGCGCTCACCAGCTTGTGCTGCGCCAACGGGTCGTTGCGCGCGGGGGCCAGGCGCACGGCCATGGCGGAACGACAACGCCGGCGCAGGGCCGCGCGATCGATCGATCCAGCGAGCGGGCGCGCGGGCTACAGGGGGAACGAGCAAGAATATATAATCAACACGAGTTCGCCGCGATGCTTGCTCGGGTGCAAGTAACCAGAACGGTAAATAGTGAACTTGCTATAGTGAGACGTCTCTCTCACTGCTCTACTATAGACGCTGGTTGCCAGGTATGAGCGCGCAATGAAATAGAATCTAGTGAATATACTGGTAGACTCGCATATCGTTCAATATGCTACCACCCAGAGATAGGCCCCTGTGTGTTGTAGTGGGTGGGTGCCATGGGGATGCAACGAGTAGCATAGTCAGCCCACGGCCTTGCTATACACTATGCTTGGTACATTCTATATGGGGGTCATACTTCTTGCTTAGCTCCTGCTTGGGCTCATCCTGTTCATGTCGCATCTAAGCTGTTTCAGCGTGCTTGTACTCTTGTGGTACATCGGTCGTTCACTCAGCCTAGCCTGCAAAACAAGAGCCAAATGTTTGGCTCCTGCAAGGGCTCATCCCATTACAATTGCACAGCTCTTTTCCTCCCTTCTGACATGCACCATTCACCAGCGCACGTGTGAGATTAGGTAGGTGCAGGCATGGCAAGCACGGCATGGCACGATCAGCGGCGGCCTGTTGTGGCGGTGTCTTGTACTGGGGGGAGGGCGTAGGGGGTGAGCTCCCCTATCTCTGGGTGGTCGCCCTGTGAGCAGGAGGGCGGGGTTGGAGGGGCGAGATGCAGAGCTATGTTATCACATCACATCCAGACGGATTTCTGGCGTGCTTGGAAGAATGCTACAGGTGGATAGACTGAGCAAGTGAGCACTTGCACAGGGCATGTGCATGGGCAAGAGCAAGGCCGTGGGCATGGGCGTGGGCATGGGCATGGGCATGGGCATGGGCATGGGTATGGGTATGGGCATGTGCAAGTGCATGTGCATGCCCATATGCATGTGCGCGTCCATCCACTCACCAGCAGCTGGCCAATGTTCCACTCGTTGCGAAACAGCAGCACCGGCCGCTCCCACTGCACACATGGACAGGGAGAGGGAAAACCAGCAAGGGACAGCATGGGCAGGCAAGAGGTCAGGATCCATTTTTGAGTCGACTAAAAAACGATTTCAGCACCAGCCGCTCCCACTGCACGCACACACACAGGGAGGGAGAGCCAGCAGAGGACAGCATGGGCAGGCAAGAGGTCAGGATCCAATGGGTGACCAAGAACAGAGACAGTGGTTAGGAAACGAGTTGTGTGTGGGGTATGTGTGGGCTGTGTGGGGAAACGGGTAGGGAGAGAGGAGTTGTGTGTGCGAGAGAGCAAGGGCAGATCGAGCTTGTGATACAGGGAACTAGGTTACTCAAGCAAACATGAATACACTTCACTCATGGGGAGTTTGATGTGCTTGCATGTGCAATCACACACATTCACAACACCTCACACCCACAAACTCTATACCAAGCAACACATCCGCAAACCATCCATACCACTGTTCCACACATATCCATTCTTTCCCTCCCCCTCCCCTCCCCGCGCACCTGGTCTTTGACAACAGCGCAATTGAAGAGTCTCCCCGCCTTCTCCACGGCCTCCCATCCGCCCGACACCCACCGCGCTGCTGTGAACCCCAGCGGCTCAAACGACGCATCCACCCCGTACTCTGCCTTCAAGCGGTGCTGCACCACCTGGTGTGGGCGAACAGAGAGGGGGGTTGGTTACGTGTGAATCACGACCAGGGATGCATCCACCCCGCACTCTGCCTTCAAGCGGTGCTGCACCACCTGGTGTGGGCGAACAGAGAGGGGGGTTGGTTACGTGTGAATCACGACCAGGGATGCATCCACCCCGCACTCTGCCTTCAAGCGGTGCTGCACCACCTGGTGTGGGCGAACAGAGAGGGGGGTTGGTTACGTGTGAATCACGACCAGGGATGCATCCACCCCGCACTCTGCCTTCAAGCGGTGCTGCACCACCTGGTGTGGGCGAACAGAGAGGGGGGTTGGTTACGTGTGAATCACGACCAGGGATGCATCCACCCCGCACTCTGCCTTCAAGCGGTGCTGCACCACCTGGTGTGGGGCACGAGGGGGCGAGGCGAGGAGCGAAAGAGAAGACATGTGTGTAGCGGCGGTGTAGGAGTGCAGAGTGCTGCGGGCGCGGGGGCGCCGGGAGAGTGAGCATGTACAGTGCAGGTCAGCAGGGCGAGGGAGGGAGCAGGGAGAGCACGCAGCAGGCATGGCAGCACAGCAGCACACACAGAACACAGCACAGTGAAAGCAGCAGCACGCACCTCAAACTGCAGTTGCCCCACAGCAGCGAGGATAGGATCAGTGCGCGATGCATCGTTGGAGTAGAGCACCTGCACGGGGAAAGAGAGACCGCCAGGGAGAGCAGACAGACAGGGAGAAAGATTACTAGCAGAACACAGCAGGGGGAAGAGGGGAAGAGGGAAAGAGTGGAAGCGGGGAAAGAAAAGAGGAGGAGAAGTGAGAGGAGCGGTTGAGGGGAGAAAGGGTTGAAGCGTTTGCTTTGCAGCACGCCTGGAACAGCTCAATGGTGCGGAAGGTGAGTTATGAACCTAGCCTAGCAAACCCTCACCTCTCCCCTCCTCCCGCACACTCTCACCCCCACAACCTCCAATTCTATGGTGCGAGAGTGTTTTTTTGTTCCAGTCGAGGTGTATCACACAAGTACACCTGTAATAGCTCTTTCATTTTGTGGGTAAGAGGGTAGCATAGAGAGTTCAGAATGTGTTCCTTTGAATGGTGGGAGGCCATCTGGTTAGCTTGCCTGTCCAGCCCACTAAGGCCTGGTTAGGAACACATTCTCAACATGGCATTCGTATGTCACACTCTCTCCCTCCCGACCCGCTCCCTCACATCCTCACTCCCACTCCCAGTCCCGCTCCTGCCCTCACTCTCTCTCGTGCTCACGGTCACTCCCAATCGTTCTCACTCTCACTCTCACCGCACTCTCACCTCTCACTCGCGCGCCCCCATTCTCCCCTCACCCATCCCACACTTCACCACCCACCTGCACCGCACTGCACCCACCTGCACGGCGCCCTCGCCCAGCAGCTCGGAGAGCCCCTTCTGGAACTGCTTGTACTTGGAGGGGTTAGGGTTGCGCAGCAGCGCAAAGAGCTCCGGAGAGAAGCAGGGGATGGGCGGGAACACACGGCGCGGCCCCGTGAAGATGGTGTCCCCGATGGCAAACACGCCGGGGTTGTTCAGCCCGATGACTGCATGGGGATGGGGGAGAGGGGAGAAGGGGGGTTGGGATGGGAACAGGGCAGGGAATCAAAAGGGATGAAAATGGTGACCCCGATGGGAAACACACTGGGGTTGTTCAGCCTGATGACTGTTTGTGTGGGGAACGGGAGGGGGAGTGGAGGGGGTGGGGAAGGGATGGAGGATGGGAAGGGGCTCGAAATTGTACAAGGGGCAGGAGATTGTAAGGCAGCAGGGAATTGGGAAGGGGACGTGAGCAGTGGGGAATGTGACATCACCAATGGCACACACACACACACGAAGGGCTTAGACAGGGGTTTGGATATAGGAGGGTTGATGTGGCGCCGATGTGAGATGAGAATGTGTGTCAGATGATTCCTCGCTCTAGCTCACACGATCAAGGGTTGCCTGGCCATCCAGGCAGCACAGAACCCTACAGATAGACACTCACCCACCCTCATCTCCCCCATCTCCGCATCTCTCCCCATCTCCCTCCATTCCGTCCTTCTCCCCCATCTCTCCCCATCTCCCCATCCCTTCCTTCTACCCCATCTCTTCCCCATCCCTTCCCTTCCCTTTCCCTCCCCGTCCCTCCCCTCCTATCTCCCCCTGCCTTTATTTCCAATCGGCCCAACTCATTCCCCTTGTTCCCCACCATGCCCCATCCCCCGCGTGCGCACCATCGCCAGCGAAGCCGGTCTCAACAACGGCCCTCTCCTGGGCGAACAGCTTCTGAGGCCGCGACAGGGCCACCGTCTTGCCAGTGCGCGCCAGCTGCACCTTCATGCCCTTGCTGAACTGGCCTGCACGTGGGGGAGAGGGTGAGGGGGAGGGGAGATGGTGGGAAAGAAGGTTGAGGAGACAAACACGGGAGATGGGAAAGGGGGAAATGGTACTGGAAAGAAGGAAAAGCGGAAGGGGTTTGTCTTGAGGAGCATGCCTCTCCCCTCCACAGGAAAAAGGCGAGGGTGTGTGTGTGTGTGTGTGAGTGAGGGCTTACCTGAGCAGACTCGCACGAATGCCACCTTGTCACGATGCTTAGGGTCCATGTTGGCCTGCAGCTGGTGGGGTGCAGAGCGGTGTAGAGAGGTGCGACGGGTGATGAGGGGAAGCACGGAGGGAGGGCATGAATGGAAGGGGTGATGATACATGAGTGGAGGTGAGAAGGAAAGAAGAAAACGAGGGAAACAAGGAAAGGGTCTTGATACAACTAATTCTGGACATCAATCAAATCAAACAACAGGGTATGAGGGAGCAGCCGGGTCAAAAGCATCAACCCATGGAAAAACGAACGCCCCACCAAACCACCCACCCCACTCCCCACTGACCCATCCCACGCCCCACGCTCCCCCCCCCCCCCCCCCCCCCCCCCCTCCCCCCCCCTCCTTTCTCCCCACCCTCCCAGGGCGGGCAGTAAAAAAAGGGCACCTTGAAGACGAAGCCGGAGAAGTTGGGGTCGTGGGCGGGCAGGGCACCAATGTCCGTGTCGTGCTCCCCGGGCGCCATGGCGTGCTGCAGGAAGCTGTCCAGAAACAGCTCCACCTGCAGTTGGGGGGATAGGCGGGGGAGGAACGGGGGGGTGGAGGGGGGGAGGGGGTGTTGTGGGAGGTAGGGGCAGGGGCGGGGAGGGATTGTGAGGTGGGGTTTAGGGAATGGGGGCCAGGGGGAGGGGTGGAAGGAAGTGCAATGAAATTGGGGAAGGGTAAGGGGTCATGCGCGGGCAGGGCACCGATGTCTGTGTCGT